TTCGTCAACATACTAATGTTAGTCATGACAAATCAAAGTGCACCTGATATCACAAATCTTTATGTTGCAGAACTATAACAAACACGTGGCTTTCAACTGTAACTTATTGAAGCTAACATTTTATCTTTACCTGTGGTTAATTGAAAATCTATGAAATAGCAAACATTGTAATTGAATAAATGGAATGTCAATTTGATTATTTGATTGTAGCATATTAAACTCCCAATATAATGGATCAAACCCCATGTAAGGACTGCATTGAAAGTAAGTTGTAAGCAAATGTTTCTTTCCAAATACTTAAAAAATATATTAAAAATAAAAAAAGTTTATTTATGTCATGCTCTTCTTAAGAAGCTAACTTCACAAAAACATTTGTTTTCCTTGATTTGTTTTCCGTACTGAGTACCAATGCTACCGATACCAGGGATCAGAGGTTTTATGCCTCAGAAACTCCCGGCGCCGCCGACTGGGATTGAACCCAGGCCTTTTGGATGAGAGGCAATCACGTTACTTTTATGATCTTAGTTTTTGGTCCATGTAAAAAGTTATGAAGAAACCACATCAATTTTCAATTGTTTTTGCCTAATTTGACATCAGTTCTGTACGTCGTTCTAGCTGAAAAATGGAAAAAAAAATGAGATTTTCACCGAGAGCGACCCAATTCAACCTGTTCGCAACTACAACTGAATGGCAGTGTTTCAGTGGCAGCATTTTATTTTGCTATGTCTCAGTAAAAAAACATGCTACGATTTAGCTATTAAGCGAGAGTAAAAATAAATACACTGAAAACAAAACTAACTCAGAGAGTAAGTTCATTTTACTCAGTTGTGAGTCATTTTTACTAATTTCCAAAAGCGTAGGTCACTCAGAGCATGAGTAACCTACGCTTTTAGAAATTTCTCCATACGAATGAGTAAAAGTTACTCACTCTCGGAGTAAGATTGATTTTCAGTGGACCTAGCTAGTCAGCGGTGCCAAGTTCGGCAATAAAATTTAAGTCTGTACAACGTTTAAATTAAAAATGATTTTAACCACTTAAACGGAAAATTGTATATTATAAGTTGTAATATTGCATGATACCGACGAATAATCCATCTGAGCCAATTTTCCATAGACCACAATCTTCTATATAAGAAGATGTTTATTCAAAGCAAACAATAGGTGGAAAATGGCACTTTTGTGCCGCTCAACTGAACTGTCCTCAAATTAATAGGCCGTGACCTTTTGAACATCTTTGCTGGTATCCTTCCATTTAGTGGGAATTTTGCTATTCAATAGCGTTTCTCTGTTCTCTCGATAGTCATAGCGAGCGAGCACGTGATTGGTTCAATACGGCTAAAAAGTTTGATCAGTTTTTAATGGTTAACCATTGATAAACAAATATCATGTTTATACCAAACAAATCTTACATCCAATCTGAATCAAATGGTGTAGTTAAATTTTAAATTCATTCATAAATGACCATGTTGTAAGCGTTCAAGTCCTGACACTATTTCGTGACACATTTTTTTTTATTTGCAACCCATTATAGTCCACAAAGACTAGTCCTACGTCAAAAATAGCCAGACCCTTGGATTGGAGTAGATTTTAAAGATACACTATTAAGAGAGCTTTTTTGCCAAAGCAATTTTGTCAGATTTTAGAATAGATTCTAGAGATATGTAATACATGTTTTTTAGAAGCTCTGTGAAAAATCCTTGGGTACAATATCAAATGATTGAGGAAATTCTGAGGAAAATTACAAGGGCTACGTGGAAATTTTAAGGATGTGAATTTTCAGTAGAATTTTGAGGATAACTCTATGACAATACAGATCAAAAATTGATGGGAACTCCGAGGTGAACAGCATGGGAATTTCTAAGAAGGTGAATTCTTGAGAAAAAAAAAATATTTAAAGTGAATCCAAGGAAACTTTTCATGATTGTGTTAGTGTTCTGCAGAGAATTTCTGTATTGCTCTAAATAGATTTGCAATGTACTCCAAGAGATAAACTCAAGTTTTAGTGGAAGTATTTCTGCAAATAACTCTGTAAAGAGAAATTAAATATAATCCTGTTAAGCTTAGTAAAGTTCCTCTGAAACTTTAAATAGAAAAAGTCGGAATTTAGATTGTCTAATCCAATCTAATATAATCTAACACCAACACAGCCAGTTCTTGAAAGCATCCAGAAAAATGAAAGATATACCTCCATCATTTTTCTCGGGTCACTAACTCACTATTTGTATTTCTCAACACTGCTATCAGCCGTGCAATCTACCATCCCTCAGGTTTAATATTTCTACTCCTCAATAAAACCAATTTAAAGAGTTCTTGCAGTGCAATTAATCGAATTTCTAACACAAATTTCACTCACCTTTCACTGTCAGTTCAACCCATCCGTTTTTCTTCTTCTGGTGCATACAAAATCGAAAGAAACCCTAGTTCCAAATTCAGAACAAACATGGAGGAAAAATCCTGCAGCAGGATACCATTTGACCGGTTCCCATGAACGTATGAATTTGGCAGACCTCTGTCTCGGTTTAATTTGCCGGAAAAATACCGTTCCGCAAACACACAAGCGCACATCATAGCGAGAGAGGGGAGCCGAATAAAACGTTTTCGCTCGATAAAAGGGCTCTGCGATGTGAACGGAAAATAAATGAAGTCCGCAAATATTCGCCCACTTCCTTCCACAGACCGAGGAAGGCTAGGTGGGTTCCTTCAGCAGTAAGAACAAGACCAAGATTGAGGAAGAAATTGGAGAAAATGATAAATGTTTACATTTACCGACGATTTCGCCTTGGCCGCAAAAGCAAGGAAAAAAGAGCAAGCAGTAGCAGATTGGAACCCGAGCTGAAATCCTGAAAAGGTAGAAAACAGACGTTCATCATTCGGTAGACATCGACCAACTCCTGGACGCAGCACAGGAGGGTTCTTCGTCGAACACTTTCCGTTCCGTACACTTCTTTTTTTTTCCACGGACGTGGAGTAATTTTTCAAACCGGGAGCTTCTTTGCCGGACGATTGCGATGCCAACCCGGGAACGTTGACAAGTGGATGGAATTTCCTACTGCTTCTCCCAGTCCACCGTTCCGTCGAGCACGGCGGTAGCAGCAGTGACTGAGTGGAAGCAACTTGATCCGATCTGACAAGAGAAAGAAATTCCTCCGATTCCTTGATAAATTTACCTTGCTCAAACATTTACTCAACTTCTTAGCTTTCTGCTGTTCCGTTCGAAAGGAGAAGCAATTTCGCTCTGTTGACTTATTTCATGGTGCTTTGGGTAGCGAGAGGATTTACCCCACCTGTTCCGTATGGCTGACTTCCAGTTGGTGGGTGGAGACGATGGGAACTAAGTGAAAGCAACTCCCATCATCGCGTGTACGTGCAGGAGGAGAATGCAGCCACTTGGTAGGAAAATATCAACTTAATAGCACAATTAAGGTGATTTATTGTTATTTGTGCGTGTTTTTTCTGTCTAGAATTCTTCCTCATCGGGGAACTGAAGGAGATCCTATTCCGTAGCAAGTTAAGGAGAATCAACAATAGTTTAGTATCCAATTCGAGCTTGAAAGTGGAGTAAAGTTTTATCATATACAAAATGATTTATTTAAATGTCGCGTCCCAGGTGTGTATTTCGATGCAATGGAATGCATTTGATTAAGTTCAAAGAATTACTTTTTACCTATCCCTAATATAAAGAAAAGAAATGGTTCTTCGGACTAAGCACATTATGTCCGTCAGTGAAACAGCCTCTGTTTTTGTTTGTACTTCTATTTGTCTAAGGAAAGGAACAAACAGAGAACCTACAGATTTCACAAAGAGCCATATAGATCTAAGTTGGAATCCTCCTTTCATTATCCGTAGGAGAAAGAACGAACTTCAAGATGTTCAGCCTCTGTTCGGATTCGTCACTCTTTCTCCATCTTAGGGTACTCAATTACCGCATTCAAATGCCTCTTCTCAAGAAGATATTCCTTGGAGCACCTATTCGAAACACTCTCCCGGGCGATAATATACACAAATCCCTGTGGTTATCATCGGTGAACGTTAACGATTCGTTGAGCTTTGCTAGAAATGCTGCACGGAATGCATAATAAATCATCTCGAATTCCATGTACGCTTACTGCAATCTTGGCTCCATTTCGCTTCCGTAGTTAACACAGCGATTTCATCCTGCACAACCTCGAACTCATCAAATTTCACACTGATTTTATCCGACTACGATCGCACTTGACCCGCATGAGCATCAGAATTTAATTCATCTAGAAATTGCACATGTCAGCTTACCGAAGAGGCATTGCGAACCTGCTTTTTGATTTTGCCATTAACTTTCTGAGCAGTGCCTGGGAATTGAAATAATGCTAAATAGGTATTGCGACAGTAAAGTTACATTCAAATTTTGACATGGGCAATCGACAACAAACCAAATCTTTACGTTGTTGCAGATACTTCAAAAATGCCACGAATATCAAGTCCCTACACTGTTGTCACCTGTTCACTATTCATGGCAAGGTTATCATACAGTATCTCTGGCGAAATGGATGCGAATAGGATCAGGTAATCGATGAGCAGAGTTGTTACTTGTGGAAGCAGTGGACCGAGGGGATAGACTGTGTCTTCAACGGTGCTACCTTGGATTTTGACGAAAGCAGTCGAACCATGAATCTCCCTTCCGAATCCTGACTTCTTATATAGACACATCCACCATATGCTTTGTTCGAAGCATCGGAAAACCAATGAATCTCGATCAATGTTACTTCTGGAACAATGACGCAACGATCAATACGAATGCTGCTGAACAGAGGAAGCTCGTCGTAGTATTTCATCCACATCTCACCCACCGTCAAAGGCAGTGGCTGGTCCCAATCTAATGCTTGGTCATCGTCGTTCCGAATTCTCCACAGAAGCTGCATAATGGCCTTGGCTGTTGTGATTGCAGTACCGAGTAGTCCTAGAGGATCGAATAAACTGGCGATCACCTACAGAACTTCCCTTTTGGTTGGTTGGTGTGATGCATTTCAACCCGGAATGGTAAATTGAAACTTCAGTTGATCGGAAGTAGGCATCCAAGTCAACCCTAGAGTTTTTACAACAGGGTCAGGGTCCAGATTAATCCCTTCCGAAACTCGAATAGCCAGATTGTCCTCGGAAACGCTTTCCAATGCTGCTTGATGGTTTGATGCCCATTTCCGAAGCTTGAAACCTCCTTTGCAAGTCATCTCGTTGAGTTGCTTGCATAGCTCCCTGGCGTTTTCGACCGTATCCGCTCCTGTGATAACGTCATCCATATACGTATCCTCCGTGGTTGCCCTTGCAGCCATTGGGTACTGTTCTTCTTCATCCATTGCAAGCTGGTTTAATGTACGCGTTGCCAGAAAGGGTTTCGTTCCATACGTGACAGTGTTGAGTTTGTACACGCCTACCGGTTCCGACGGATCGAAGCGCCATAGAATGCATTGGAGTGGCCTATCCACCTGTAGAACAAAGATTTGCCGGAAAATCTTCTCTACATCGGCTACCAACATGATTATCTTGACGCGGCTCCGGAGCATGATAGATCGTAAGTCCTCCTGTACAATCGGTCCTACCAGCAGAGCGTCATTGAGCGAAACGCCAGACGACGTCTTGCATGACGCGTCGAATACCACACGGACCTTAGTTGTGGTACTGGCCTCCTTAATTACCGGATGATGTGGCAGATAGCATCGTTTTTCGAGATCAGCCGTTTCCTCTATCTTCGTCATATGCCCTAATCGGATGTATTCCTCCATGAACTGATGGTACTGTTCTCGCAGACCAACATCCCTCGCCAATCTACGTTCTGTGCCTTGAAGCCGCCGGAATGCGATGTCCCGTGCCTCGCCCAACCTGGAAATTGCGTCTTCATCTTTCGGCAACGAAACGGAGTATCGACCGTCGGATTCCCTACGAACCGACTTCCGGAAAATGTCCTCACATTTACTTTCCTCCAACGAAAGAACCTTGGAACTGCCAATCTCTTCACTAGCCCAAAACCGTGCGACTAGCTCCTCTAATCCTTGTGTAGTTGCCGTACTACAATTGATGCTTAAGCCTTGACTCGGATTTGTCAGGCCTCCGCAGACCACCCAACCGAACACTGATTCGTTTAGTGTCGGCAATTGATCTCCGCCGGGAATTCTTCGACCAGTTTAAAAAAAAATCAAAAAAGGATTCGATGCCCAACACCATGTCCACTGAGCTTGGATTGAAAAAGGTGGGATCCGCCAGGATGATCCCGTTAGGCACCGTCCAGCCTTGTGTATTTACCTTCGCCGTAGGTATATTTACCGTAACCTTTGAGAGCACGAGGAAATTCATGTTCTGCGAGAAAGCCGTAGCTCGCGAACGAACCATCGCGGTAATCTGGTACTTAACCTTTGTAGCCGCGTGACCAATACCGTGCACAGAAATATCTACTTTCTCTCGATGTGTCCTGAGCCGTTCACTCAACCGTTCAGCGATGAAATTACTCTCGGAGCCAGAATCCAATAGAGCACGAACCGGGAACTGACTACCCTCATCATCTTCCACGATAACGACCGCAGTAGCCAGCAAAACCTTGGAGGAGAACTGTTGAGTGGACCCAGAGACTGTTATTTCGGTGGCTGCCATGTTGACCACCTGGGAGGATGTAGAAGTGGATGGTTCATCAGATTCCATTTGAGGAGGAGGATTGTTGTTTCTAGCCGGCGCCGGTGGTGTAGTGGTAAGCGTGACTGCTTTCTTACACCCCAATGGGTCTGGGTTCAATCCCAGCCGAGGTCGGTGAGATTTTTCTGAGGCATAAAAATCTCTGGTCACGTCTTCCGTCGGAAGGGAAGTAAAGCCGTTGGTCCCAGCCCATGTGTGTTGTGAATGGGTGCGATATCCTACGCAGGTGTGGAAGCTGCCTTCCTGCACATTCGATTGCCGTCAATGGATGGCAATCGATGTCCGTCGGTGATTGGCACTAGATTGCGGAACAGAGACCGACGTTAAATAAAGGAAAGGATTGTTGTTTCCAGCAACAGCAGCGACCTTCGCCGACCCATCCTTCTGCGGTTTGAAGCATACCAATGTATGATGGCGACCTTTGCAACTACGACAGAAGTATTTTGACGGACAATCCTTTGCCAGATGGCCCGCTCTGAAGCAGTTCCTGTATAGGGAGTTCACCCTCAGCACTGCATCTCTTTCTCGCACCGACAACCGTTGGAAGGATGAACACTGGTAGAGTGGATGGTTCTCCTTGCACACCGCACATCGTCCCCCAGACGATTGCACAGAACCTTAGCTGGCCTTCACAACAGACGATTTCTGTCTCAACGGTTGTTGTACTTGATAAGAAGTCTTGGAATCCGAAGCCTTCGTTGGTAATGACTCCAGAATCCAGATCCTACGATGTAAGAAATCCGAGAGATCTTCTAACGTGTCTTAATTCTTGGTCGAGGAATGTTCCTCCCAACCTCGGCGAGTTACCGGATCCAGCCGGTTTGTGAGCAGATTTACGAGCAACAGGTCCTTGTAATCCTCAGGCTTGAGCACCTGGTCCAAATTCTGCACCACTCTCTCGAAACCATCAGTCAGAGTATGCAGATCCGTTACCGATTCCTTGGATAATGTTGGAAAATTGAATAAAGCTTGTACCTGTCGCTTTTTGAATTGCTTGCTGTTGTCATAACGCTTCAAAAGCATGTCCCACGCAATTAGGTAGTTGTTCTTCGTAATCTTCAATGAATCAATCAGGCTCTTTGGTTCTCCCTGCAGGCATCCCTTGAGATAGTGGAACTTTTCCACTTCCGGCAAGTCCGTCTTCCGATGTATAAGTGAAGTGAACAGATCACGGAAGCTGATCCACTCATCGATGTCCCCGTTGAAAACTTTAGAGATGAACTAGCCTAAGGCTAAAAATCTCTTTAATAAAGAATTAAAAAAAAAGAAACTGTTGAAAACTTGTAGCTTAATTTGAGGCAAACGCACATGAGCAAGGGTACCATGGCCGTATGTCAACGACTCATTTGCTCGTATGGATTGTTCAACTTCCTCCGGATCCTGCAGTTCCTTGGCCCTACCCAACAAACATTGCAAGCGTAATAAGAGCTTAATCAGGCAAAAAGAAGCTTCTTCAGCTTAAACATAGCTTATTCAGCCCTTAATCAGCACAAATTGTTTGTTCGGTATCCATCAAGAACGCCTTACAATAGTAGTACTTATCACTATACGCTAACCTAGCCTTATCGAACTCCTGATCCTCATCCTCAAAGTCATCATGAGCTTGAACATCGATTAGAATCTCTCCATACCTTTCCCACAACTCATCGATCCTATTCAAGCGAACGTTGACCTGACTTGCTGTAGTTGTCGACGGGTAACCGTCCACGAATCTCCAGATGTCGTCCAAAGATGTCTGGATGTTCTTAAGCTGGACCATCAACAGCTTGAAGGTTGGCGGCTTCTTGTCGCGGGTCGGCATTGTTGATATGCGTCACTCAAACTGGTAAATAGAAGAATTGGGTGGTGTAGAGATCCGATAGTCCAAGGCTTCGGCTGGCATACACTGTTGTAGCCTACCTAAGAGAACAGAACGATATACTGCGACCTGCTACACCTAATCCAGTAAATTGTAGGGTCGCTGATCACAGTGACGTCACACCGATTGTTGCAGCTTCGCTCGTAATCGTTCGATTGATGAGGAAAGAGGAGGAAAGAACCAACTGTAGTATCCAAAACCTGGCTTCGGCGGACATATACTGTTGTAGCTCACCTATGAGAACAAACAGCAACTGCTAACTCGATTCCAAACAGCTCGATGTATCTGATTTCCAAAGTGAAAGTCCACACCTTCAACTTGTCAGCCAAACAGTTCAGATGCATGTAGTATCCAAAGTAAAGCTTCGGCAGAACATATACTGTTCAAACTAACCCGTGGAACCAGTAATGGCACCAATCCAATCCCAAACCGACCAGAAAAACGTTCAAAAGCGTCCAAAATTCGCAGCAGAATGAGTCAATTGTTCTGATAACGAACAGTTTTTTGCTCAGGGATTGCGTTGTAAATGATTTGAAGAGGATTCGAAATTCATTTAAAATGCGTATATTATTATCTGAGGTCCCACTTCGGAGATATATACATTCTTTTCACTCACCACAGAGAAAATGAATCGATGCCGCCTCTTCTTGTCACGCTCCAAATCGTCTCCTCGAAGATGGCCGTGATGGTCCTCAATCAAATGGAATTAGGATGGCGTCTGTCTTCGTGATTCTACCAGTTCCAGCTCCAGGAATGTCGGTCGGGATGACAAACCAACAACTCGTCTTCAAGTAGCGTCTTTCCGTCTCGGTAGATATTATAGGATGGATGCAAAGAAATACGTCGAAATGTGGGCGTTAGTATCGCGTAAACACTTGCAAAGGCTCGACATATACTGATCTAAATATATTTACCTGGAGAAGTAAATCCGGTGCTGGATCAGTTGTCCAAACCTACGAACGATCCGATGATCCTATGTAGTTGCATACAGGGCCTTTTTCTTCACATAAATTACACACGCGACGAATTACGGAAACCACAGTTACATCACTACATTTATTTTAACAACAACAACGATTTTTATTCCTTAAAACTAACATTGGCTTAAATTCTAACACATAGGTTTCGCATAGGTTTCTACCGTATACAATAAAATAGGTCATCGTCTGACCGCGATCGCTACCTATGCGATGTCTTCTCTCGGGTCCAAATGAGAGTTTGTTCCCGCTCTCTTATCACCCGTTATATTCCGCATTATTTTCCCCACTGCAGTATCATACGGGTGACGTCATTACCACCGAAGCAAGACCCTGCTTTAGGTTCTCCTCTCGGTGGTCAAACTGCTGTTGTTGCTGAGCGCGTGGGACAATGGTGATAACTATCTGCAGCCTATTGTTGCGGTTGCGGGCTCACAGCTGATGCCATGGTTGTAGTTCGATGGGTTGAAAATGGTTCTACTCGTAAACACCTATCCTGTCGTATTTAGCCAACGGAGAGGTCTGTGCAGATGGCATCTACTTGATGGCCACGTTCTACTTCACGAATGATGAACGAAGTGAACGTAACTAAATTGGTCGTCGTAGAACGCTTAGGCATGAAGCCATGTTGATCCGTCGAGATACAGTGTGCAAATCTTTGAACCAATTTTTCGAGTATAATCAACTCAAAAAGTTTGGAGGTAGCACTTAACGAAGCTATTCCACGGTAGTTTGAAACAGTCCTTTTGCAGCCTTTCTTGTGGATTGGGAACACAAAAGACTCCTTCCATCAAGCTCCGAAAACCCCAAACCTCAAGGAAAGATTAAAAACGTTGGCTAGAGGTGTCGCGAGAGCAGTCAGGCAGCATTTGAGGACTAAAGACGGTACTTCATCTGGACCGGAACCCGTTGAAGTTTTTAGCTGCTTCCCGGATGAAATAACCATTTCGCTGATGATAGAAAATGGATGGCTGGAGCAGATTAAGGGAAAGACGTTACTAGACGCAGCAATTACATCCCGAGTGCTGAGTCGTTCGTCGTTGAAAACACTGCTGAATTGTGTGCGAAACAACTCGGCAATACCCACGATAGAGTCCACTTCCACTACGCCGTTCGTCATACTTGAGGGTAGTTCGCTTTTCTTTCTTTGGGCATGCACATGGCGCCAAAAGTTCTTAGGATTTGATTTCAGACGACGCTGAAGCTGGTATTGCTGCGCATGGTACAGTTGGTTGTTGAGTCGCTTGTAATCCGTGTTCGCTTTAGAATAACATACTTTCGTGGAATCGGTTCGGTATTTCAACGACTTCATTTTCTCTGCTTGAACGGCAAGCAGTTTAGTTCTGTTTAAGCCCGCTCTCGTGAGTTGTTCGGAAAGTTATTTTTTGAGATAGTGTTCGCGCTCTTTCGTACGTGATTTGTCGCGCGTGTGTGTGTGCCCCGAAATGGGGAAGCATCGCTCGCGAAGCCCGGTGAAGGACCAGGACGCCGGTGAAGGAAGCTCCGGTGTGTCCACATCGAACAGGTTTGCTGTTCTTCCCATCGATGAGCATACCCAGCCAGCTGCAAAAGGAAAGCGCAGCAAGAAGAGGAAGAAGAATCGGAGCCAGTCCGATTGCACGATTTCTCGCGGCGATGCTACTGCGACAAACGGTAGTGATGTCGGAGATTTCGGTGACGTTGCCGACACAAGCACGGCAAAAGTAAAGCTACCTCCGTTGGTAGTAAAAAATGCCCATCTTAACGATCTCATCGCAGATCTGGCTTCGCTGGGCGTTAAAGCCGAATTCAAGTTGGGCAGAGTCGGCACCAAGGTTATGCTCCGCACGAAAGCGGAGTATGACTTGGTCGTTGCCCACCTGAGGACTACCAAGGTGGAATTTTTCACCCACGACATTCCCGGCGAGAAACCATTCAAGGTCGTCATCAGGGGTCTACCGAATTTTGACCCGAAGCTGATTGAAGCGGAAATCAAGAACCGCTACAAGCTGGCCCCAACTGCCGTCTTCCGGATGACAAGGAGGGACGAGAACGTCAAAAGGTATCCAGATTGTCTTTTCCTGGTGCATTTCCAGAAGGGAACGGTGACGCTCAATGCGTTGAAGGCTATCCGCTCCATCAATTCC